CCCCCTCTTTGGAGGATTCTCAGGATATTTTTCTTAGAAAAATACAGGAGCCCCCTTAGGCTTGGAGTACCCCACTGTGAGAAGAGTTATTCATCAGGTCATTGTACCCAAGTCTCCTTCTCACACCCTTATTGTTTTTACTATTTTTGTAAAAATAATAATAATAATAATAAAGTAATAATAGTAATAATTAAACAATAAAAATAATAAAATAAAAATAAAAATAAAAACAATAATAAAACATTGCAACAGCTCCAGAGTATCACAGGTCGAGAAACACTAAGCATGAAGTGTCAGGTGAAGGATAAGGCATGTCTATTTACTCAGTGAGTCAATATGCTAATCTCTACAGACTAGGGATAGACATTACACATAAACCGGTTTAAGTGCTCAGAAACTGGTTTAAACCTGTAACAGAACAGACATTCAGTGCACATAAACCGGATTGAAAGTGGCTGAAACCAATTTATTTGAGGACTCCTTGGTTGATTGATACATGCAAATTAGAAGCTTTTTAAAATCTTAATTGAAGTGAGGACATTGGATAAACCTGGTTGAATGTAGTATCAGACTTAAATGATTTGGGTCAAACCAGTTTATGCAATGTCTGTCCCAGACATATAAGTGGGAAAATGGCTTTTGCACAAGAAAGAGGGCTTGTTGTTAGGAGCATTCAGATAATAATTATTTTTCTGCTTATTTTGCAGATTTATTTCTGAAGCCCTTAGCTGGATAAATCACTACAGTGCTTTAAGTGCCTTTCAAAGGAAGAAAATAATTTTGTGCCCTTTTTAATTTTCTTATGGTGCCTTAAGGAGCCCCCAAATGCTTTGCATATTTCTGCCGAGGGGAAAAGGCATGTGATGTGTGGACAGAGAGATTTTGCCTTGATACTTCCTCTTGTATTTTGCGTTCTGGAGCATATGATATGACTGGGGAACTATCTGAGGTACAATGGAAGTGAAACCTCTGATTACTGAGAAGCAGTTTTTATTCATACTGTTTAAAACGCCATATTTTTTTTAACAGCTATGTATCTAAGACACTCAAAGGAAAACATGCTGTAATACACAATGTCTTCACTTCAATTAAGGTCTGAGAAAGCTTCTAATTTAATTGTATTAATCAACCAAGAAGTCCTCCATGATCAAGATAAAATTTGATATTTTTGTTAATTTTAAGGGGAAAAGGCTACAGAAAATTGAAAGCATGGGAGGGAGAGGTTGTTGAGGGGGTGAGAAAACCTTTCAGACTCCTTGTTTATAGTCTGAAAGAATGAAGAAAGATGAAAGATACTTTTCCCTCTATGAGTCAATCTTAAGTAAGGAGTAAATTAACAGATCAATGACTACTGATGCAATATAAACACTACCCGAAGTTATGAAATGTACAGTCATTCAGGAATACTCAAAATCAGCAGATTCCAGATTTGACATGGATACTCAAAACTCTGTTTGCAAATTCCAAACAATTTTGCATACTTGCTCTTTCCTTCAAAATACTTGCTTTTCTAACATATTTAGTCTACATCTACATTCCAAGATAGAAGCAGGTTGCTGAATTCACATGGCACCCTGTAGTGTTGTGCTGCATCCTCTGATGAGATGAATAAAGATGCTGCCTGATGCTGATCCAGAATCAGCTTGTCTTGACAAAGTCACATTTCAGGATTCTTAGGGACATAGACCTAAGGCAGGGGCGGGCAATTATTTTGGGCCGAGGGTCGCTCATTGAATTTTGGCAAGCCACCGAGAGCTGCATGACAGGCAGCCAGGGGCACATAAATATGAATTTTCTAAATTTTTTAGGGGCCCCGTAGGCCGGATAGAATGGCCTGGCGGGCCACATCTGGCTCGCAGGCCACATTTTGCCCACCCCTGACCTAAGGGCTAGGGACAGACATTACACATAAACCAGTTTAAGTGATCAGAAATTGGTTTAAACCTTTAACAGAACAGACATTCAGTGCACATAAACCAGTATGAAAATGGTTGAAACTGGGAGAAAAACCTGGTTGAATGTAGTATCAAACTAAACTGATTTGGGTCAAACCAGTTTATGCAATGTCTGTCCCAGACCTCTTGCTGGTTTAAGATAAGCCAGACACCCCCAGCATCCCAGCATGCTCTCTGGGCTGGGTGCAGCTCTGCTCCATGGAAGGGCTGTCCCCACCCCTCTGCTCTCTAGCTGGAGCAGGGACCAGCTCTAAGGGAGACACCAGCTGACGTGGCCCCAGTTAAGGCAAAGTGTGCAGGGAGGGGGTTAATTCTTTCCTCCTTCCCCTCTTCCTCCACTGCAGCGGGGGTCAACCTGTCTGCGGGGGAGGGGGATGCAGCAGTGGCCCTTGGAGCTGCTAGACCCCAGCTGCAGGGAGGCAGGAATTAACCCTTCTCCCTGTTCCCTTCACCTTAACAGGACCATGCTGGGCTGATTGTCCCACAGGGTGGGCAAGAGGGCTCTGTTTCATGCTGGGGGGGGGACTCTTCTCCCTCCTCCTCCCCCCAGAGGGGCAGGGGGCTGCAGCGCTCAGCTGAGCAGGGTGTGGGTGTATGGGGTGTGAGGGGAGGTGGGGGGTGTAGGGATCCCCACACACTCCTCCATGGCATGCAGCCCCCACTGCCTGGCAGGAGCAGCAGGCAGGGAAGCCAGGGTGCTCGTGCCCCTAGCAGGCGTGACTCTGGCCAGGGCTGCGCAGGGGGAGGGAGCGGAGCCTGCCTTACCCCTGCGGCTCTGCTCCTTGAGCCTGCAGCTCCAGCACTTGCAGTGGAGGAAGCCCTGCTTTGGAGCCAGCCCCTTCCCCCACTCGCCACTGTGCAGGTCCCAGCACTGCCGGGAGTGGAGGGAGCCCTGCAGAGTCCAGCGGGAGGCCTCCCGTCTGTGAGTGCAGAGCTGCAGGCATGCAGCATGGAGCCCTGGAGATAGAAACGGCCGGGCGTGCCTGCAGGTCCGTGTTTGCAGAGGGGCAGCCCCGCACTAGATTGCAGGGAAGCAGGGGCACAGCTCCCTCCACTCCCAGCAGAGTGCCGGGACCTACACAGCAGGGAGCAGGGGATGCAGCTGGCTTCAGTGTGGGACTTGCTCCACTGTGAGTGCTGGCCGGAGCCCCCTGACCTCTGCACCTGCTGCTGCTGCTATGCAGTGGGGGCTGCATGCCATGGGGCAGTGCACCCTCCCTCAAACCCTACACACCCACACCCTGCCCAGTTGAGCTCTGCACTCCCACTGCCCTTCTGGGGGGAGGAAAAGGAGGAGGAAGGGTTCCCTCCAGCATGGAACAGAGCCTCCACCTGCCCTGGGGGGGAAGAAGTGGGGGGAAGAGTCCCTATCTGGGGCTGGGCAGCACCCCATATACCCCGCAGCAATGGGGGACGAAGCAGGAGGAAGACAGAATGAATTTAGGCTCAGGCTTTTTGAATGTCTGTCCCTAGCCACGTGGATTGCTTCTGAGCACAGTGCAAAACCCCTTTTCTGTGGGAGTGTGTGTTTATGCATAACGGCTGTGGCAGAAAGTCTGTGTTGAAATGGGTATATTTATAATCAGCCCTTTCATTGGGCTGTGATTTTTAGTTTATGGAATAGGTGTCATTAGATGGCAGCCTATATGAGTATTTTGAAAAATCAACAACCTGAAAGGGAGAAACAGATGCATGCTCTTTCTGCAGAAATACAGGTTCAGAATTTCATATTCCTCAGAGATCAGAGATCGGTGATGCTCCGATCTCAGGTTTAATTTCAGGACCAGTATCTCAACTAGGTTTGAATTGTTCTTAGGAAGAAAAAACATATCACACAATCCTGACATAGTGACATTTGTTTTATATACATGTTGCAGGCCAGAGCCTGCAAGTCACAGGTAGAGGGCACAGGTTTCTAATTATTAAGTATGTGGTACCCATAGTTTATGTTATGCTGTTTTCAGACAGCTGAAAACAGTATCCAGCTTGAAAGAATTTTCATCTTAAGGCATATAAAAGATATTGTTGTGACTTGAGAGAAATTGTGGCTTCCTTGGGGATATATAGCCACGCTACACAAACTTGCATTTCAGAAGTTGCAAGCTACACAGACAGTTATTTGCCTTAGCAGTTTCTTTAGATTTAAGAGAGCATTTTCTTTTTCACTGTCACAGATTTCTTGCACATCAAAGAGAAACTACAATGACATTCAGATGTGAGACTGAGATTTGCTAAGGAAAGCTCTCATTCTTTCTGTAATTAGAAGTGTTTGAGAGATGATTCTTCAGGCTACATTTTCAAAGAGCTGTACTTAAATAATATGAAAAACATACAGGCCCTCCCTTATTTAGGCTGTGTTTTACTATGCTATGTTATTTCAAAAGAACTACTGTCCTAGCATGGACTTCCCCACCAAGTATACAGGTGGCAGAAAATAAATAATTCATTCTTAATACAGTTACAAGTGAAACAAAGGTGTTAGTTATCTTTTTACCCTTCACAGAAAACCTGCATGGGTGAGAGATTTAATTTGCCTTCATGGTTTTGTTTCAGCAATCACTCATATGCAGTGTTTTTGTGTGGATGATCTAGGGCCAAATTATCTACTGGGGTGAATGAACTCAGCTCCAGACAATATAGTTTCACTCATTTCCATTAGCAGAAGTTTGGCCCTTTCTGTCCATCACAAAAACATGAATGAGATACTCAGAGAAGCACTAATTTAAACACTGAAGCACTCATTTCAGAAGTAGCACTTGCATATTCTCTATGGTGGGATTCACCTCTCTCAATTCTTAGTTCTGACTCTTCCCCCCGCCGCCCCTCCATCCAATCACTGCTTTAGTCTCCCTCCCTATTTAACTTTGGAAATGAACACCCCTTTTTACTTTGCTCTGTACAAATGTTTCTCTCTTCCCTGTTTTTCTCTTGCCAGTCACCTCCATGCCCTCCCTTGCAGCCCCACTGCTCACTTTTTACAAAACCCCTAGACATACAAGTACCCCTTTCCTTCACTGGGATTTTACTTACAATTGTTTCTTTGCAGTTTCGACTTCCTGCACCCAGTTACTCCTCCTCCTCATCATCATGTGATCAGACTCCCACACCACACCTCCTTCCCATTTTTTATCTTTTAAAGCACAAATAACGCTGAAGGGATCCACTGCCTTTGAATGTGCTGTGAGTGGTGAAGAGTTTAAACTGCCTATTAAGCAGAAAATCATCCCTGTTCTGAACTTTCTGTCCCACGCTCTTCCCCAGGGTGGCTGTGCTGTATCAGCAGCTGTCTCATGTCGTGTGCTCTGGCCTGATGCAGTGACAGAAGCAGTGGGAGGAGCACCGGCTACAGCTAAAGTAGCTCTGCTGTCTACTCTGAGAAATGTAGCTCACGCACGGCTGCTTACTGGATTTCTGATCCTTTAGGGCTTTGATCCTGCCCCCTCTCTCTCACCTCAACCTCTGATGTTCTGAGTAGGTAACTGGCACTCACAGCAATATGTACCTGCAACCTTAACTGAATGTTAATGGCCATTTTTGCATGGGCTCACATGCATCTTACACACAAATACGCTGGGCTAAAAGAACACTATTAAGGTTGCAAAGCTGGGCACTTAAAAAAGTTAGGTACTGACAACCTTGACTCGATCCCCTCGTGCATACACATTCGGACATAATCTTTAACTCTTATGTCTCTTTCAGTGAGCAAAATTCATGATGTTCATTTTATGAGCAGGTATTCATTCTTTTATTTTCTCCTCTTTTAATGCATGTCCTGGTACCTTATTTATTGCATTTATTCAAGCCTGGGGATGAAGTGAGATTCATCTATTTCCTCATGGGCTTATTGCCACATGATCTGAACAGATCACAAATATTAATTCATTTTCCTAAGGCCTCTGCAAGGTCAGTGGATAATATTATCACCATGTTACAAAGGGTGTCCCCCAAAATCGCTCTAATTCTAGTGCTCCCTAGACCCTGTTGTGGCAAATTCAGACTTCAAGGAGGAAGTTTCTAAGGATCAGAGAATTGAAGTTTTGGAATGGTCATCTAAGCTAGGTAGGGAAACAAGGCACCTGAATTGCTCTGAAATTTGGTTGGAAATTTTATGGGAGGGATAAGGTAGGGTGTTCTTGAAGCAACAGTTGGTGGATGCAATATCCTCTTTTAACCCGTGGCACGTTGTAGATTTTATTTGTATTTATATAAGCTGCTCTGTGACTGGGATGTGTGAGAGGGGTTAGAGTAGATCGTCTTTTGATCCTTTTGGACATATGGAGACCAGACTTAATGCCTTGAGATGCCCATTAGAGAGTCAGAGATCCTCTATTTCAGAGTACTTAACACTTTTCTAGCCCTTTGTATGCTTGAAACACAGCCCAAGCCTACCCTATTTTGCAATCATGAAACCTCAGTATTTGTGCAAATCTAGTTCTAGGTGTTATGAGCTTGGCAACTAGAAAATGAGAACCCACACTTTTAATGATCACCTGTCAATATTTTTGTTTAAGTAAACTGCCCATTATCACACAGGGTCTTATGGCAAAGGCAGGGACAGGATCCAGTTCTCGAGGGTGACGTTCAGTTGGAGTGAATTTTATCAATGGGTCCTGTGGATATCTAGTAGATACTCTGCATTTAAAAATATTACTCAAAATATACAAGAGAACTAAATTTCAGTGGTACATTAATTCTAGCATTTCCCAAGTTTTCTTCTGCTCCCATCTATCCCTGGACCCTCCAGACTCCTGCTCTTGTCCATCCCTATTTCTTCCCTGTCCCCTCAGCCCTCACTATGTATTTTGTCTCCTGCCTTAAAGTTTCAGCCTCTCCTCTACTTGTTTTCTTTTCTATCTTCTTTTTGAGGTTAAGATTCAGGAATGGTAGACTGGCTGGTGCTTTTTGAAATATCCTACACAGAAATAGAAATAAAACTGCAAATCTGCTATCTGGAATAATTTCTTCTTCTCATGTATTCATGAGAAAATTCTTGCTTGCCAGTTATAAATGAGGTCTTGATAATTGTGAGTGGCTTGAGAAAAACAGGTATGATACATGTAGCTTGCTAGTACACTGTGTTTGTCTCGCTATAAAATACAATCATGAGGGATCATTTAGATAGTAACTCAGATAATTTAAAGTTGCTAACTGAGAGGGAGAACCTTGAGATGACTTTTATATTAAACTATGGTAGAAATGTGCTATACTCATGATACTGATTTCCTCCACTCCCTTACTTGGAGAAGCCATTTGTAACAGAATATCCTTTGGCATAAAGGTTGCATTTTCAAATAAAAACTTCCTTTGTTTTCAGGTTAAATTTGTTATTGTCTACAGCTAAAAGACATGCCTGGTGGCAAGTGTACCTTCCAACATTGTTGCAGAGTAACAATACCAGAAATAAACCAACAATTGGAATATACTTGGAAGGAAGCATTTCTCCTTCCAAGAATATGAAAATATATCTGTGATCATTGTTATTACATTAATAGACTTATTTACAATGCATTATTACTTAAAAGGTTTGATTAAGACTTGGCCTCCTTCTGTTAGTAAAAGATTCAGTGGTATGAGTATATGATAAAATTATTAGCTAATATACTGACCAGCTTTCAAAATACAACTGACTCCTCTTTAAATATATTACTGAAATAGCAGTAGCCACCACAATGTACTGCAAGTCCAGTCCTCAACGACTGATATTTATCTGATTTGTATTCACTTCTGCAACATTTGGAGTGGGTCCTTTTGGGGAGAAACAGACCCATTTCTTCTCTTCTCTCCCATCTATTTCTGAAGCTTCTCTACCAACTCAGGTGCTGCTGCATTCACTGTAATGTGCCTACAGGACAAAAGTGTCCCTGAGAGGATTGCCACAGTGCGTTGATGTCCTTGGGGTGTTGTGAGAAGGCACTGACCTTTAAAAACAGCACTGCTTGGAGCGAATGTTGTTACATTAAAGTACGGTTTAGAAAATATTGTTGGCTTAGCTCCCAGCTGAGTCTGAGGACTCAAAGTAAACATCCAGAACAGAGTAGGTTTTTAGACAAAGATTGCCACTCCATTCTGAAAAACTCCCAGAGGTGCTGAGACCCTCTGCAATATGTCAAAAGGAGACCTTTTGCAGACTTCCTTGTAAGGAATTTACCCACAGCAATTAAAGCCTAGACTATTTCAGTAATTTTAGTCATGAAGCAAACATTTCCTCTCTCCTTTCTGGAGCCTTTTCCAGATGGCAGTTCCAATCAGTCTCCTTAGAAACATGGCCCAAACATTTATAAGTAATGTTTCATATTTTCAAACACTAACCTGCATCATCCTTGATAATGACAAACAGCTTTTTCCAGGTAATAGGCCCTTAGCATCTTAAGTGTAAGGCACGGCTAAGAGGTAATAAATCATTCATTTCAACAACATGTATGTGCAAGGAATAGACATTACACTTTTTCTGGTTTAGGTGGCTGGAAACAGTTCTATAGCCGTAACAGAACAGAAGTTCAGAGCACATAGACTAGATTAAAATGGTAGATTCTGGTCTAAGATGAACATGGATCAATGTAGTATCAGGGTTACTTGATCTAGGCTAGACCAGTAAATCAAACTTCAGTACCAGGTCTGCTTGTGAATCAAATTAGGGAGCTGGCTGCCATCTTCCCAGGTACCTTTGTGGGCTACTGTTAGCTCCTCCTCACAGGAAGCCACCCTGCATTTGGCTATTCCAGCCAAGCACTCATCTGGCCGTGCCCCCCAGGCTCTCACAGTGATTGACACTGATGATGGAGGAGAGGGGATGGGTACTCTGCTGTGCCCAGCTCTCTGGTACTGCACCAGCTTGTAGGGGGTATGAAGGCCCCTAGATTGGTGTGCAGGAGCCCACTCAGGGACCCCCATGCCTCTGTGAGTGGGTGCAGTGACAGGGAGCAGACCAGGCTGGAGATGACTGTCACTAATGCTGACTGCTGACATGGGGGGGAGAGGGGTGCTTAGTGGCACTTGTAATCTCCAGCAGCCTGGTGATGCCATGGGTCATGCTGGGAGGTGTACTCGAGTGCCCCCAATCTGCTGGCCTCAGCCTCTGTGCTCCTCCTGTCAAAGGGTGAACTTTTGTGCTGTTGACTCCGGATATAACCTACACTGCTTACCAAAACACACATAGGTTTGAGCGATTCCACCTCCGGCTTTTTGAATGTCTGTACCTAGCCATAGTGTACCATGTCTCTGCAAAACCAATTTAGCTGCAGTGTATCCAGGAGGAACAACAGGTCACACTATAATTTCCAAACAATGAACTGTGAAAAAAGATGGCTTGCTCTTTCCAAAAGTGAGGTTTGTACTTTTCATGAGTTTAATAATACCTAATAGAAAATGATAGCATTTTAAGACTGAACTATGCAGAAATAATAGAACTGACAATCAGATAATGGTAAACACTAAACTAACAAAAAGACGCCTCTCCATTACCCCACATCTCCAAATATCCAAGTAAAAAACAGGGATTAGAGGAGGCAGCATTTATGGCACAAGCCTACGTAGGCCCCAAGATGACAAATGGGACAGCGTCAGTAGCTGGGCTATCACTGGTTGTAGTAGCAAGCCTAGAAGTGCAATCAGGGGGCACATCTACATGTGTCCTTCTGGCACCTTTGTTAGTGTGCCATCATGTAGTACTTCCTTTTGGAAGTACTAAATGACGGCACAGTAACAGCCTGTACTGCACTGTGTGTGCTACACATGGTTATGTTACCTGGGTGATATGTGGAAGGTACACCCTCTCCAACTGAAGGGATTCAGTGGGTGCGTGTACACTGTGGGGAGTGTGGCTGCCTAGCTGTAGGCCAGCTCACCTCCTTTTCCTCCAGAGCAGAGCACAGACCAAGTACATCAGTGATATTTAACTATTTACAGGTTTAATGATACAGCATTATATAACACTCGCAACCATGAACTTACGTACATATGTCTACACACACACACACACACACACACACACACACACACACACACACATTATTTACAAATATAGGTTTATACAGGCAATAGCTCTTATTAACCCTTGACTCAGGCATAGGCTTGGTCCTCTGTGGCCTTCCGATTAGTGTTCAGCCTCTGCTCCCCTCAACAGGCCCCTCCAGGCAGCAAGCAAAGGAGCACTTAATGATAAAACTCAGGTTAATCAACAAAACAATGACAAGAATATCTGGCAGTGATGGGACAATAATTCAACATATACAATCAGATTACAC